GCTGAAGAGGACCTTGTGATGAACAAAACAGCATTCTACCTGGATGATTGACATTGAATGGAAGAACCAGTGGAAAGGTATAAAGCATTACAGCTTCACTTGGTCCTTTACTTAATTCCTTTCATTACAATCGACTGATTTTCATTCCCCTATTCCATTCCTGCAGAACATGACTGATTTAGAAGGACGGTTGCTGAACTACTTTGCTCATTGGGATGCTTTTGGAGGCTGATTGCCTATGTTTCTTTTTTAGTTTGATTTAGAACGATGGTATTTGGAGGCTGATTGCCTATGTTTTATTGTTGGATGATTTAGAACATGATTACATGAGATGACATGGGTTTTTGGGTGGTGGGATATTGGATGTTGCAGCTTGTTTGCTTGTTGCAGCCTGTTATAATTTTGAATTTTCATGTAATGAAGATCTGGGTGGTGGGAGGGTTACAGCCCCAGATTCTTCTATTTCAGTTCATGTTTTTCGGTTTAAATGAAGTGAGGTATTTTCAGGAACTATTAGCCTTAGATTTTTTTGTTATGTACGGGGATCCATGAGTTACCCGTCGCCGCCGGGTGGCCGTGATGGTATGCATCATTCCCCCGATTAGCTCACGGGAACAGGGAGGGGGAAACCCGGCAAGGGTAACGGACGTGAATGGGGGCTATGTACCCGTCCCCGATCCGCCCTGTTGCCACCCCTATCGGTATGGAGAAAAGGATTTGAGTTATGGATGGATGGATTCAGTGAATCCATAAATTCATTAGGATTTTTTTTATTTGCTGATTTTGAAATTCGTGGATTTTAGCTTCGGTAATTTCAATTTTCTAAAATCTAGAAATATCAAAATTTTCATAATTAGAGAGATTCAATATTTTGATTTGTGATATATTTTTTCTCATTTTTATTCCTTTCTTTATAATTTATCCCACTAAATATCCTTTTTAATATTTTTTAGTCACTCAAGTTGTTTTGGTTATGGATAAACATGTTATTTAATATATTATTAGAATTTTTATCTGTTGTACGCTCATTGAACTGTCATTATGACCGAGTTCATCTTGAATCGTCTAATCACATTGTTATTTTTTACGACTCCGTGAACATTTTGACACAGATATAAATTAAGAGAGTTACTAATCAACGCCCTAACTTTTTTAAATTTGTCGCCCTAACTTAAGTAATTTGACGTTTTTGCCCCCAAATATTCTCAATCTCTAACCAAATTTAGCCCTATGATTTTTCCCCCATCCCCACCGTTTGCCCTGAGAGTGGTCGCCCGTTGCCGCCGCTCACCTTGGGAGTCGTCGCCGTTCATCCTTGGAGTCGCCGCTCGTGGCCGCCGCAACTGCCTTCTCCTCATGTCCTCTACTCTCTTTCCATCCTCGGGATCATCTCTGCAGATATTATATCCTTGGAGCAGTACCCTGACCGATGAAGTTGTCTGACGACGATCGAACTTGGGGTTGCTGTGTTCTAATCTTGAATCTAGTAATCACACCAACGCCATTGCTAAAGCTAACCGAGTTCTCCAATGGCTAGAAAATTCCAAAAGACGTGTGTGTTGTAGAGTCAGCACCATGAGCAGCAAGCCAACAACTTGCCTCATAAAACAATCTCCGAGGTCAACAACGTTTCCGTTTCCAACTTCCTTATCAAAGAATGGTGTTTGTGTGCCAAAATACTCAATAGACAATTCCATCTGCAAAATTAAACCACAATCACATAGACATTTAACCACATAGGCGGCGGCAGTGGGTAGGGCAGTGGCCGGCCGGGGATGGGCGGACCAGAGGAAGGGCTAGGGCGATGGGCGGAGCAGAGTAAAATTAGGGATTTGGGGCAGCTCCTATAGTTTTAGTGATTGAGGATAATATCGTCTTTTTGGTAAGGTTAGAACGTTAAATTTTAAAAAATTAGGGCGTTAAATCGGAATTCAGTAAATTAACTACACAACAAACTTTGTATCTACATTAAAATGTACTCTATGTTGTTTCTTGACACTCCCTACCGGTTATAGTTATAACAAATTCTTGTGGATCAACCAAAAATAATAATAAACAATTCACAAACACAAAAAAAAAAAAAAAACTAATTGCAGCATACAATTTGAATGACTTCCTAAAAACAAACATTTTAACATATATAATAACCATATTACGTCAACCGTATTTAATATATTTTTTGTCAAAAAAAAATTTGTGGAAAACTAGAGGAAGTATTACAATATTCCAATTTCCCTTTTTTTGCTTATTTTCTTAAAACTCTAAATTAAAAATGAAATAAAAACTCAATCCAAAACTTGAAAAAAATTAATAAGGAAAGATATTAATTAATTGGGTAAATGCCACATTTGGTCACTGAGATTACTAAATCGTGTCATGTTTAGTCAATAGAAAAATTTAATATCAATTTTGGTCACTCAAAATACTGAAACTGGTCACATTTAGTCACTCTCCCGTTAGTTTCCGCCCAACTCTAGTAATGGAGTTGGACGAAAACTAACGGGAGAGTGACTAAATGTGACATGTTTCAGTAATTCGAGTGACTAAATGTGACATGTTTCAATAATTCGAGTGACCGGAGTTGGACAGAGGATACGGGAGAGTGACCAAATGTGACATGTTTCAGTAAATCGAGTGACCAAAATTGATATTTAATTTTTCTAATGACTAAACAAGTAAACATGACACGATTTAGTAATCTTAGTGACCAAATGTGACATTTATCTTTAATTAATTATTACTAATAAATACTTGTGTCTCACATCTACCTAGTAGAATTCAGAAACTTTAATTACTATCACTAATTAAAATATATCCGCGGGCGAATCCAAATAATAATGATGATTAATTAATACACACAAAAAATCGCAAGGTTAACGACAAACGAGGTCGTTTCCTATCCTCTTTTCTTTTTTACCGGTCATAAACATGTATGTAACAAAGACGTACAATGCGGTTTAGGATAGGGTCAGTAAGCATTGGTTGGCTCAAGATAGGGTGCATAACCATGGGTTATGCACCCATCAATAACCAAATCTGGACCATTCATTTAGAAAATCCAGATCTAAAGATGGAGAATTAAAGACTATTTTTATTTTCACTAGCTTTCTTAATTGACTCATATTTTTTTGTTTTAACTCGAATTTAATTTTTTTGCACAGATGGAACAAGTTCACGTGCTCTACAAAATGAGATCAATTTTCAATATTTTTTAGGAAAAAAAAAATTCTGGCCTCTCGGTACCAACTGCATACCATATGGTATCTTCTTCATTTTTAATTCGTTTTTGAAAACGTTTGCACAGCAGGGATGAGTTCATCATGATCTACTGGATCTACAAATTTCTGAGGTGAACAAATTACAGGACCAAAAAATACACACAATACCATACAATACCACCCTGGTACGGGGTGGTATTGTATGGTATCTTCTTCGTTTTTAATTCGTTTTGAAAACGTTTGCACAGAAGGGACGAGTTCATCATGATCATTGGATCTACAAATTTCTGGGTGAACAAATTACAGGACCAAAAATAACACACAATACCATACAATACCACCCTGGTACAGGGTGGTATTGTGGGTATACAATGTTAAAAGTCGTAAATTACAATTAATATACTTCTACTATCATGTATTCAACCATCCTACAGTATGTGTTTGTTCATACCACCATGGTACGTTTTTCAAAACATAGGTATGCTTTATTTCAATACCAGTCAATACCATATGGTATAGGCTGGTAAAAAATGGCTCAATTTTTTTGTTCGAAAAATATATTAAAGTGGATATCATTTTGAAGAGCACAATTAATCTGATCTAACTGTGCAAAAAAAATTAAATTTCGACTTAAAATGAGCGAGAAATCGTCCGTCAAAGATTAAAAAGGGAAAAATTAAAGACTTTCCATGAGAAAGAGGATGCTGATGTCATGCTGATGTGGACGGGTTACTCATGGTTACTCACCATAAGGTTACTGATCTGATCCATTCCCGCATTGGTTACTGACATATGAGTAATTAAATCTGGATTTTTAGATCTAAGTGGATACAGAAAATTCAGATCTAAGGGTTGTCAATTAAAGACATTTTATTTTCCATAGTTTTCTTAATCGACTCTTATCTTCTTCGTTCTAACTCGAATTTCAATTTTTTTGTGCACAGATTGAACGAGTTCGTTGTGCTCTACAAAATGAGATCAATTTTCAGTATATTTCGAGAAACTTTTTTTTACCAACTACATACCATATGGCAACTTCTTCGTTTTAAGTCGTTTTTGAAAACGTTTGCTCAGAAGGAACGAGTTCATAATGATCTATTGGATCTATAAATTTCTGGGCGAAAAAAATACTAGATCAAAAATTACCATACTTTACGACTATGGTATGTGGGTGGTAACTTGTGGTAACATGTAGTAAACAATGATGAAAGTCGTAAATGACAGTTAGTATACTCCTACTATCATGTATTCAACATTCTTACCATATTGGTATGTTTATACCATCATGGTACACTTTCTTACCATATGGTATTAAATAAGAGGATATCATATGGTAACGACTGGTAAAAAAATATTCAATTTTTTTGTACTAAAAATATATTAAAGTGGATATCATTTTAAAGAGCACATTTAATCTGATTTATCTGTGCAAAAAAAAAAATTTCGACTTAAAAGGAGAGAGAAATCGTCCACTAAAGATTAAAGGGAAAAAAATAAAAGACTTTACAAGAAAAAGAGGATACTGATGTCATGCTGATGTGGACAGGTTACTCATGGTTACTAACCATAGAGATAAAGTAAATGAAATAATCGAATGTGGCAACAGGCAATCTGCCAATGAAAAAGTCTTTTTCGCCAATTAAAGTGTGCAGCTCTTAGATCCTAAAAAATGCAAAGAAAGATACAAGCGTCGATAAAAGACGCGTCAAAAGCAAGAGAAGCGCCGATAATGTAATGTTGTCAGTCGTGCCTGAAGCAAAGCAGAGTAAAGCCTTCCTGTTTCTAACAAAACCAAGAGTTTTCGTCCTGTTCAGTCACATTCGCCGCCGGCGGAATTTCAAAATGCCACAGCCGCCCGACACCTTTCACCAGGTACTTCTGGCACAGGAACTCCTCCGCAAACGTCTTCTCCACCTTCCGATCCACATCGTGCAAAAGCACGTGCGTCACGCCGGAACCTTTCCTCGCCCTCGCCATCACCGCCGCGGAGAAGATCGCTGCCATCCTCCCGGGCGCCTCGGGGAAATACCCGCGCGGCGCGTCGATCATGATCAGGTCCCACTCTGTCGCATACACCTCTTCGGGCAGTCCGGTCAGGGCCAGCGGGCAGGCATAGTTCCCGTCGAGATAGGCCTTGGCCGGGGAGCACATCGGCTCCTTCTTGTACGAATTGAGGAGGTCGTCGGCTTCCTTGAGCTGGGTGCGGTACTGGACGGTGCGGGCGTCGAGCAAGGGCGCGTCCTTGAGCACGGATTTCACCCATGAGGGATCTTCTTCGAGGAAGATGGTCTTCCCCTGAGGGTTGAGTGCGCTCCACATCAGGGAATCGAATCCGAGGCCGAAGACGAGGAAATTGGCAGGGGCGAAATTGCGGCCGCGGAAGACGCCGAGGGTCTCAGAGATCTCGTAGATGTTCTGCTGCGGCGTGGTCCGGGAGGTGGCGTAGTGGACGATTGCCTGGAGCTGGGCCGGCGTGGAGGCGTACTCTGCTGCGGCGCGGAACTTCTTGCTTGCGAGGGAGCATATGAAGGAGTTGTCGGCGGCGCGGATGAAGCTTCCGATCAGGACCCCGGCGAAGACCAGGCCGGCCATTACCAAGGCAAGGACCCAGCTGGATCTGTCCGGCAACTGGCGCCGAGATTTCATCTCTTCTCCTGATTGATTGGTTGGCTGCGAGATAGAATGGGTGGGGGATAGAATGGCGGTGGAGAAGGAGGAGAAAGAAGAAGGCGTTTTATGCAGAGGATTCTTGAGGTGCAAAATTAAGAAATGGAATTAAAGAAATGCTTATTCCTTCCTGTTCCGTATCTTATTTTATTTTTATGATCCTTCTTGTCCCGTATTAAAATGACTGTATTGATGAAGTTTCCATGAAGAAAATGCGGAGGAAGGAGATTGTGACTAGACTAGGACGTTTTTTTTTTTTTGAGGTCATGGTAATATTATGAATAAATTGTTTTCCTCTGATTATTAGTGTGCACCGGGATGGTGCTTCTTTCTTGTTATAACTTGCGTGAAGAAAATGGCGTATTGTTTTTTTTCTCCAAGCAAGTTAACAAACCAACATGCAATTTTGCCTATTATCATGTGTATTTTATTAATAGGGTTGGATACGAAATCCAAATAGATGATAAATGAGTAGAATTGGATGGGTTTATACCCATATTTATTTATTTGGGTTGGTTTGGATTTTTAATATACATGGATTTGAATTTGTACTTATGCCCAAATTCAAATTACAATTTGATATCTAAACTCAATGGATCTACTGATTTAGTACCTAAATTTACATTTTGATACCTAAATTTTTTTGGTCTTATATTTTGGTACCTAAACTTTTTATGTTTTACAAATAAGTCCAATTTTTAGATGTGTAGTTAAAACACCCTCAAGTAAATGAGTATTCATGCCCAACTCATACCCATTTAGAATATGGAAGCAATATCGATACCTTGCCAAAACCCATCTACAAACCCTCAAACCCATATACACTTCACTCATACCCAACCCATTAACTCAATGGGTCTACTTGAGTTGGGGTATATTTACCCATGGGTGGGTAATTGTCCTCCATAAGTCTATTTCTTTTTATAATCTCGTATGCTCTATGATATTAATTTGTCAAAATTTTTGTGCTATTTACTAATGACGCAGCTTGTACCAAGAGGCATTTCACTAAAAAAATTACTTTTTTATAGAAAGAGCGCATTCATTAAGATTTAGACCGTGATTCATTTTGTTATGTTTTATCAATCATAAGATCTCATATCAACATCATATCACTGTCATATTATAATATTATTACTATTATATAGTGATAATATCATTATATGACAATGATATGATCACTTCAAGTTACTTTGTCAAACATAAGACATCATATCAAGATAACATCGGTGTCATATCATTATCTTTAATTAATATATACATAGTGATATTCATTTTGTTACGTTTTGTTTAACATAAGACCTCATATCAGTGTCATATAATGAAATTATATAGTGATAATATCATGATATGACAATGATATGATGTTATCAAATTATTTTGTCAAACATAAGAACTCCTACCAACATCATATTACTATCATATTAATATCATATCAACATCATACCACTGTCAGTGGTAATATTGTGATATGATTGTAGTATGGTGACCTGAAAATTTTTTACTCTAAAAAATATTATAATTGATATCATCTTGTAGAGCACAATAAATCTGCTTTCTTTTGTGCAAATGTATTGAAATCCGATGGCCGGATGGGGGCAAAAAAGTGTTATAACATTTTTAGTGATGAAATAACACAAGAAGAAAATTTCGGAATGGTCAATCCAAATAAAATAATTAGTATCCAATAATTACCACACCATAAACTAAAGTGTCACATGAAATTCCACATTGTAAAATAACGCTACTACAAAATCAAAATGTCACATCAAAACCACCCGTTTGACAAATACAATAGTCCTTTGAGTAACCACTACGATAATGATACAAAATTAGCGACTACCAAGTACGAACACTTAAATCCATGAGACTAACGGGTCGTTTGCTTCATGGATTTGAAAAATGAGGGTTTTGGTAAAACTTGGGTTTTGGAAAACCATGAATATATGATGAATTTGGTGGCATTATGGATTTGACCAAGTCTATTGTTTGCTTGTTGGATTTGATTATAGATTTTGTTTGAATAGATTTGTGGATATGAAATTCAAATTACCTTGTTACCCTTATCTTATCTAATTATAGTTCTATATTATAATCCATAAATTTCATTAAAAAAATCCAACGCATACAATGAAATTTTAAACTCTTTACCACTATGTGGACTAATAATTCAACTACAAATATAGAAATGTATTATAGTTTGGCACTAATTAACAACTCATTTAATAATGTACGCAATATTATGTATCAATTGCAACCAATTGCTCACTTTATTGCTACAACTCATCAACTTCTTGCTAACTCCCCGATTTTGGAATCCGACAATCAATCAAATAATAATGCACAAAACCAGCATAAGATGTTTATAGTTGAATCTAACAAATCACATATACATACATATTTAAATAAACTATGATATTACAAAACGAAATGAAAAATTCTCATATATATAAAATACGACATTATAAAAGTTTATAATTGCATGACCATTGAATTAAAGTAGGACAACTTTGTAATTAAAGTAATAAGTAAGGGTAGAAAGATAATTTACCATCATGGATTTTAATTCATCACCCAAATCCCACGAACTTCCAAGTCCGTGGGGTCCACGGATTTGGAACCCCAAAAGTGGCGGGACCCACAAATTCCATCTCCCTAATTTCCTAAGGCAAACGATGAATTTCCGTTAAGTCCATGATATATAGATTTCCATAATCAAATCCATCACCAAAACCCTCAAGCAAACAACCCGTAAATCTGTGGTTTTACTCATTCCCATTAACCCATGGACGGGTAGCTATCTGGTGTCTGAATTTTTGGAAGCCGAGCGGTTTTACATTGTCTTTGTATTGTTTCTGTCAATGGAAATGTTAGCCGCAACTGGCATGCCAATGCTTAATTTCCACAGCAATAACTTATCTTCGGCTTTAGCTTTTATTTGGCGCGTTGGGTTTGTCCCCTTTTGGGGGTAATTGTCGACTATGGAAGTGTGCTTGCAAGTGTGACTAATTGCATCCAGATTCCGTTTTCTGGTTCTTGGTGTCGTATTGGGTGTGTTTGTTTTTCCCAATTTATACAAAAGCTAAAGCTATGGAAAATATTTTAGGCCTACCGATTATAATTTTTTATTTATTACATAACAAAAATTATTTAAGTTGCAAAATTGGAACTACGGTTCATGTGAACCACACGCATATTTTAAATATAAAAATAATCATATTGTTAAGGAAATTTTAGAATATGATTTATTTTACCGTTATATGGTAATGACTCGTATATTTAAGAAGTATAGTATACTTAAGGTGATCTAACCGTTAGATATACTTTTATGAGCTCCGATCAATCTAAATGGTCAATTTTTATTTGCAATTAAATTGAACTTCGGGTTCGGGTTTAGAGAGTCGAGTTTGGGGTTTATCCATTAGAGGTTTGGGTATAGTAAATTATCCCAAACTCGGTTTAATTCATGGTCTAGATAATGGTATCTCACTAGAAGTTCATGGAGTATAATACCCTAGGTAAAATGTAGACTATGACATAAGTTGAGTAAGAAAACGCTATCTAGACCACGAATTAACCGGATTTTTGGGCATGATACTATACAATAACCCTTGATCAGTGAACCCTAGGTCTTAGTTATCTAAATCATAAAGGCTAACCCCTAAGATTTTGCATGTAATTTGTTGCATATATTTCGACGAATTATAACCGTCAATTTTTGTTTCAAATTAAATTGATCTTGGTGTATGAGAATTATAGAATTAAGACTTTATATTTTAATCTTTAAGGGTTTGCGAATAGTACCAAATGCCAAATTTCAGTCATTTCGAGGTATAGATATCATTTTCTTACACATGGTGTGTCATACCATTGGTTTTACCCAAGGTACGATAGAACCACCTATATATATGGGTTTAGGCTAGCGTACGCTTACCTTACTGTACGCCCGTCTATTTTTGTTATATAGATATTGAATTAGCTAGAGTTTGGGGCATGATACTATACTCTAACCTCTAATGGGTGAACCCCGATCCCCAATTCTCGCACCCAAATCATAAGATTCATTTAATCTCAAAATAAAAACAAACAATTCTTATTCGTCGGAATTATTCAAACACAAATAATAGGTGTGAACGTAGGGGTATAGTGTATGTCAGGTGTACGCTATGTGTGTGTGGAAAAGGTAGGCATACACTATTAAATGAATCTTATGGTTTGGGTTAGAGAATTGGAGAGTGGGGTTCAACTATTAGAAGTTAGGGTATAGTATCATGCCCCAAACTCCGATTAATTCATGGTCTAAAAATTAAAATTTGACAGACGTACGCTAGCTTGAACCATATATATTTGACTATTGCATGGTGTAACGAACCTCTATGGTTCGCCAACCTACACAACTAACGAGCTAGCCACTCACAGTAACATAATCTAGGGCGCACATCAGTATATAAGACGAGATACCTACCTATTGTAAAGTGGTGGCCTTACAGAAGAAATGGCGCTTATGGCACCATTATGCTATTTGCCTCAGGTTATGGTGAGTTGCTCTTCGACATAGTAACTCACATGTAAAGATGTGTTTTCAAATTGTGGTCGAGAGGGTCTATTTATAGTTTTTTCCATTAGATTTTTTGAGAGATACTGTATGATGGAGACTCTTCCGCTCACATATCTTAAGAGTATCTTCCACTTAACCTTCAAGAAAAGAATATCTTAGGGGTCGTTTGGATTAAGCATTTTGATTTGAGGGATTTATAAGGGATTTGTACTCAAATTCTGCACTTAAAAATCCAGGTAATTTAAACAAGGAAATTGAATCAATTTACTTGTTTGATAAGGGATCCAGAATTGTCCAATGAGCAATTTAGATTTTAATGACAAACCTAAAATTACTTTTTTGCCTCTGCTTCGGATGATCTCTTCTCCGACGAAAGGGAAGCAGTTGCTTTGAGATTCGTCGGTCGGACAATCTTCTCTGCTTCGTCCTGCCTGAAAGAGCATACGCAAAGCAGAGCAAGTAAGAGCTCTATGACACATGGACATGGATGAAGAAACAACGTTTCTTCCTTCCCTGAAAATTTCACGATTCCGCCACGCTCTCTCTCTCCCCCTTACCTCATTTCTTCCTCCCCTCAAATTTTCAAATCGGCGAGAAGGTAGAGCTATTGGGAATCACCAGCACACTTCCATCCCATTAGAACACGGAATCTAACAAAAGACAAGGACTTTTCCCTCCATAACCTTAATCATCTCCTATGGGCTATTGGGCTAACGAAGAGGCGGTGAGAACAATGACGGTTGCGGAGCAGCGGTCAGGAAGGAATCAAATCGATGGTGAGACGAGATGGCCGGCGGCGGCTAGGATGGATAGAGGAGTTGCAGAGGGTTGATTCAGGGATGGGGAGGATTTGGCCGACACATGAACATGGATGAGGGTTGCGGAGCGGCGGAGAGATTCAGGGAGGATATGGTCGACGACTGATGGGCTAAACCGAGGGTTGGGTGGATGTTTGGGAGAATGAGAGGGAGGGAGAACGAGAAACAGAGGGAGAGTTTGGAGTGAAGGCGGGGAAGACCCTCCTCAGATTGAGTTGTGGGTTTTGAGCACTTCGGCAGCGGCTGCCGGATTAAGGGGCTGTGGGATTTTGGCGACTTGGGTATGGTGATGTGTGGGATGTTTCCCAGGATTGGCCATGGTTTTGGACGTGGAGGTATAGGAAATTCTGTCTTCTTTTTTGAATTGATGTGTTTGGTTGAAAGTAGTAGCGGTAGAAAGAGAGGAAGGAGGAGAGTTAAGTTAGATGATTTCTGTAAGTCAAGGCATGGTTTCTGTATGTGAAGCTTCTTGCTTCTTGTTGTATGTAAAACATCTGTATGTCAAGATTATATGATGCAAAGTAGATGGTTTCAAGACTTTTCATCTGTTCTTAGCAGAACACTACCTTTCTCCATATAACAGAAACAAGATTGCATAACCAATAACATTTGCATATTGTTTGGCTATCAAACAAAATATGATATCAAACCACAATAACAAGTCTTGCTACTGTGTTTTAACTTCCCTACCAAACACCATCTTCCAACAAACAAGAAACATACAGTATATCCCCAAAAAGCTCAACCCAGATCCCTATCATAAGCAATATAGAAAAATTTCAGCTCGTCCTAAACTCATTCGCCTTCATCCAAGCAATCCCCTAACAAAAGCCATCTTATATTCATCTGCCTCCAACGAATAAAATGTTACCAGGTCCCTATCGTTGTTAGAGAGCTTCCGCAATGCAGTAATGATATCAGTTGTTGTGAGGCCTCCAAGTTCTTCCAGCTTCCTCAGCAGATTCGATCTCTTGCTAATGAGATCATCGCTCTCTTCGAGTGCTCTTGCAATAGTGTCAACTGATTGCTTAATCAGTGGTCGAAGTTCTCTCATTTCCTCGATGGAGTTGGCGAGGTGCTCATCGACTGTCTTACCTTTCTTTCTCTTCTTAATTGGAGCACCATCGGTTGAAGCGGTAACACTGGCAGATTGATTATTCTGTGCTGCCATTTCTGCTTGTATTTCCTCCATCAACACATCATCCATTTCTTCATTTTCGACAGGTGCAGTTTCTTCATCCTCTAAATCGATAGCGTCAACAACATTGGTGTCGACCCCATGCTCACCACTTGCACGCCCTTTGCAAAAAACCGCTGCCAAGTCATCGTAGACAGGAAATCTTTTCTTGTTCAACCCTTTGCAGCTTGTGTGCTTCTGCAAGTCAGCAATATAAATACAAAGAAAATGACAGCTTATATTAGAAAAGGAGTAGTTTATAGGACAGAAAAAAATAAAGATCAAGCTGTAATTTACCTTCTCAAACTCATCCAAGATCCTCGGGACATACAATGCATTTATTGACCTCGTCCCATCCCCAGCCACTTTGTTTCCTCATAAAATTTATTGCATGCCATCTCTTCTTCAGTTTTTTGAACCTGCCTTCAATGTTAGGATATGCCTTGACCCTACATCCCGGCACTCTTTCCTGCAACAGCTTCTCTAACTGCTTATAAGCCCCATTCTTGCAGTTGCCGTCAACGATCTGCCCCTTCTCTACAAGCTCCAGAATACATTCAGCAAATGACTTGTCTATTTCCTCTTTCCAGTACGTATATGTCTTAGGGCAAGCACCGTCCATATCCTCATCACGTTGCTTTCTCTTTCCCATGCTGCAAAACAGAACTAATGAGAAGAGTTGCAACTGAAAATCTGCACCCCAATCCCATCCATCATCTGTAGCACATCAATCCAGGAACTAGCCTCATTCTGAAGCTCTTGTATCACAACATCAATCCATGAACATAAAATTATACACAATGCCTGCACCAACCGCAACACATAGAGACATACAACATAAACATATAACCGTAGCCTCATTCTGAAGCTCTTGTGTCAGTACAACATCAATCCTGGAGCTAAGTTAGTGATCAAGAAGATATTTCCTCAACCAAACTATCATACTCCTACAGAATAGTGTGACTGAAACTACTGCTATATCCTTCTCAGAAACAACACCCAACGCCTGTAGCAATCCCATCCACATAGAGAAGCCGTGTACGCTTTGGTAGTAAGAAAAGGTTACACATCTATGCCCTTCCAATGACATTTTTCTGTTCAATGCTATAAGCTAGGTATAAAGAAGGAAAGCCCAAGCTTTGAAAAATCTGTTCCAGCAGTGAAAACAAAATAGAAAGAGCATGTAAGACTCTAGAAATCCAATGTTCTATAATGTCAACCAACATGAAATCCATCGAGCAGACATGGAACTTCCCCGCTGTTGTATTATGTGCACAAACACCAGATAAAGATCATATGGCAGCCTTAGTCATGATTGTTCAACCACTGACTCCAACATAAAATGGTTCAATGATAAACTCATTCGATTCCAAAAAGAAAGTTCATTGATTCATTAGATCCAGAAACCTCTGCCTTCACATGTCACAACACACACGCAACTCCAGCAACAAAGTACTCAACCACATCTACAGGATAAGAGTAGACAAAAAAACAAAGTACCCAACGCCTGAAGTTCATTCTGCATAAAAATGCCAGTACCATTACAACTAAACAGGTCCTCAACATTAAATGAAAACTAATCAAACAACAACTAATCAAACTGAAGAAGAAGCTCGAAATCTAGCAGGTCGAGTTTGCCACATCTCCGAGACCAAATCAGTCCTAAACTGATTCCAAGCTTCAGTTGGTTGAGTGCTGGATATTCCGACCATTGTTTCAACCTCATTTGACCCATGTTGTTGTATGTCTTGGTCTCGAAATGTTCTTTCATATATATCGACTCCATGTTCTTTTCTTTATAAAATTGTGCAGAATGCAACAAGCTAGCACAATTCGAGCTACAACAGGTATAGAAAACCAAGTTGACTCCCTAAGGATTGCCCATCTCATTTTTAACACTCCAAAGATTCTTTCTACTACGTTTCTAGCTTGTATATGTCTCCAGTTATAGTATGCTTCGGCTGTTTGCGGCAGATGTCCCCTTGTTTCATCAATATGATATCTTGGACCCCGAATCGGGGTCAAAAATCCGGGACTATTAGCATAGCCAGAATCACAAAGATAATAACACCCTAAACCAAAAAAATATTCTGAATTAGATTTCCTACACCGTTGAATCAAGTTTTATGCATATACCAATTAGTGTTATTGATTGTAATATAATTACCTTCTGGCACAACAAGGCCTTTCGGCCTGTTCAAGTCATCATTCAAGACCCTTGCATCATGGGCAGATCCTTCCCATCCAGCAAGACAGTAGACGAACTCTAAGTCGGGAGTACAAACTCCCAAACAATTGATTGTGAGATCGCCTGACCTATCTCGGTACCTAGTTCGTTCTTCCTTCAGTGGTCGGACATCTATATGGGTCCCATCAAGGGCTCCCAAACAGTTCTATGACAATGAAGAAAAAATAAAAATGTTACAGGAAAACAGTTTGACAAGCTACTCCAAAAGGAAGATTATAAGAGTAGTTTTTAGTTGGCAAACCTTAACACTATGTTCATTAAGGGCGGAAAGGGGAGGGGAAGGAAAAGTGGGGGAGAAAGCACGGGTACCAAAATAGTTTCCCCCGTTTTTTAAGTCATCTACAGTAGTGCGGGAAAGGAAATAAGAAGGAAAATACACTGTGGAAAGCTAACCTCCGATTTGGGAGGAAAAGGAGAGAGAACGTGAGTTGCGCTTTTTTATTCTTTTTCTATTGACTCAAAACAAAAAAGGAAGCTCAATTTATATGGAGCTCTATCATTATACGAGTGGTTAGTGGGAAAACTCTACTAATCCTTTTTTATATTCAATTTTTCGTTTTTTTTTTGTTACTTTGGTCCAACAAACTCAAAACTAAAATGAAAAGAAGATGACGTGGGTTATAGATATAGATAGGAATAAGTAATATTTGTAATAATCGGTATTAATCCTTATAATTAAGATAATGACATGAACCATATAGAACCATTCAATACAGTCAAAAACACAATTCTACGTAGAAGCGTTTGGGTGACCCAAAAGCGTAAAATCGTAAGCTTTTAAGTTGTAAAGAGTTATTTTGGCTACGCTTGTAAATGAAAAGCACGATTCTACGTAGAATCATTTTTATAATCTAGAAGCGTAAAAGTGTAAGCTTCTAATTTCCAAAGAGTAAAACCTGTGTAACTTGGATTAATAGTGAACAAATTAGCAAGAAAGAATACATTTGATCCACTATTATAAGTAATGAACATAATTACAACACATTATCTGTAATTTGTTGTATGTTTATATATTTAGTTGCAATGTTATTACTCAATAAAATAGTTAACAAAATTTTAGTAATAGGTTGACAAATTTCATTCAAATAACCAACTTTTGATTTGTTATAGTTAACAAAATTAACAAAGAAGAACAAATTTGATCCACATTACATAATTAATGTAAATAGTATAAACACATAATTAAATTATTTAACTATTCTATCATCAATAAAATATAATACATATCACAATTCCCAATCTACTTTTTCCCTCCCACTTTCCCTTCCACTTTCCTCCATTAAACAACATTTTCTTTCCAATTCCCTCTAATTTCCCTCCCTTCCAAACTTAACCTCCCCTCCAAATTTTCCTACCCTCCCCTCCTTTTCCTCCCTTCTTTCATGAACATAGTGTAAAATACTTCCATCTTTTATTGGTGGAATCGGATGGGATTGGTTCAGGCTTCTTCATTAGAAGCTTGTTGAGTCTAAGGATTGCCCGCAACACTCGGTGAAAGGACCGATATATGGTTTCTGTGGAACGACGCAAATCTACAGCTAAACTCCTATTTTTGTCACTATGTGAAATAGTCAAGAGGAACGTGAGAACCATCTCATCTATTTCGATGTTTCTTGTTCTTTTCAAATCCCCTTCAGCAGCTAGAAGGTCACACAACTTTGTGAACAATGTACGGTTCATCCTAATCTTCCTATGGCTTTCAGTATCACTCATCTTGGTGCATTTATAAATGACCCGTTGTCGATCATAGTGTCGCATTGCTTAACCGTCTACGGGTTGTCTACCAAGTCTAGGATTTACAAGCAATAGCTCTGTTAATTTCATTACTTCCATCCCTAACTCAATATATATCATAATGAGATTCCAAAATGCGCTAATCGCCGCAATCAACTTGCGTCTTTCCATTGAAGACATCCTTGACAGCCGAGACATCCTTTTGAAATTAAAACTTCAATTAGTTACATAAGTACAACAAACAATCAATTCGACATAGAGAATTCTTGGATTCCAAATTTTACAAACCAGCTAGTACAACAAACAATCCATTCATATCAAATCATAACATTCACTAAAATTGTGCTACTTCTTTCTTAATCTTCCATGAATGGAAAGGCTGCTAAGTAATACTGTGTTAAAAAGGCTTCAAATAAATTAGTTGTTGTTATTACTTGACGTTAAGTCTTTCTCACCCAGAGCTTAACTTTGCAATTGATATTAAGATTCTGAGAATCTAGGTGGGTTTAATTGTGAACTCAAGTTGTACTGAGTTTCTAACCCACAACCCAGATCGCAGGCTTAGGGTTTCAAGAGAATATCAACAAAGCTCTAGGGTTTCTTGTTGCATACTATCAAGTGTCTCTCTGCCATATTCATACAAACTAGCCTACCCAGACACACTAACTTCATACTAGTTTCATAATCAGTTCGCGTCCTAACCCACAACCCTAATTTCATATATTCAAACGAGGAAGAAAATGAACACCCAACCCAGAACCCTAGTTTCATATATATTCAAATAGAACGAGGAAGAAGATTCATCAGTTCGTACCAACCCAGAACCCTAGTTTCACATATGCAAACAAAATGAGGAAGAAGATAAATCATCCGCACCCTAACCCGAAACTCTTAATACACATAAACCAGAATCAAGGGCCCCCGACCCAGAATGATCCACGCATAGAACGAGAAAGGAGGAAGAGAGGACGCACCTGAAAGTCGTGCCCTGAATTTCAACGCCCTGCTATCCCCGCACGCGAAGCTGGTGAGATCGAACGGACTTTAAGGCGAGCGTCGAGCCGTCGACGTCGCTGTAGATCGGAGCTAGTAGAACCCCGCCGCAGTCGCCGACGATGCGAGAAAAATGAAGAAGGAGATAGATGGTTTCTCGTATCGGGAGGGAAGAAGAAGATAGAGATGGGAAAGAGAGGTTGGAAATGGTGAGTCGGTGAATAAAGGGTGAGGGCAAGAAAGGAATAACAAAAAATAAGGAGGGACAAATTGGGAAGGTTGGGAAAAAATTGACAGAGATTTTAAAAACCCTGGGGTCCATCAGCTATTTTAAAATCTCTGATACTAGGATTTTTGAAATTCCTAATGGGTAAAATCTCTCATTTTTTTTTTCTATCCAAACAAAGAATTGTGACAAAATTCTTTATGACAAGGAATTGTGGCAAAATCCCTGCCCACATTTCCTAATCCAAACAACCCCTTAGAGAAATTGAGCTGATATGGTCCTTTTGGAAAATGCTTCGTTTGGAGCCATTTTAAGTTTTGGTCGACAATCTGGACCGTCATTTATGGGCTTCGAATCCTGTTTCATTCCTTATTTTCAGTAGTCGGATCTTGGTGTCTCCATCTCGTACAACGTTGTTCACTAGAGTGTTTTGACCTGAAAAGTACATAAA